GGTGTAAAAACCAACGGCAAGAACATTTTCACACCTGATGATGACTGCTTGCGTTGCAGTCGAAACGTCGTGGGAATTTTATTGTTTTATACATATTATTATTTTATTGTTTCCATTCAACGTGACTTTACCGAAAGAACCAAGAATATAAAAAACAACAGGTGTTAAGATGCTCAAACACCAAATATAACTTTTGCAAGGCATCAAGTACTGCATTAACAACACGTACATGTGATGAACATGCCATCAAACATCTTCTCATAATATATGCATGGTCTTTGAAACTGATTGGCTGACACCAGAGAGAGTCGCCTTCTTTCGAGTCTAGTCTCACCATTGTCAGACCAGAGGACAACGCCAAAAGCCGAACAGTACAAAGACAATGCACTACTATAGCTTGCAAAAGGTTTCTACTTGGTGTTTGAACATCTTAACACCTTGTTTTATTGTCAGAAAGGGTAAAAACCTATTCTTATTTTTTCATGATCCTTATATTTTCATAATAGGCAACTAAACATAACTTTTTTGTAGTTTTCAACGAGACACACTTAAATCTGTTTAAAATACGCCTTTCCCCAGAAATACTTTACAGGAATGACAGCACAGTGAGTGTTTTTTTTTAAGATTAAATATATCTGCGTCGCTCATTAATCTGCGGTTGGAGAAAGCGTGGAACGAAGTCCGCGGCTAAATCTCTTCTGCGGTAAAATAAGCGGACGTCAGTTTTAACACGAAGGCTTTCGCGACCAACATCATCCATAACAGGTTTTTTTGAGGGTTAGATCGCGTAAATATATAAATGCGTCGATAAAGCCGCCACCAGCTGACACAGCCAATTAGTAAAGTTTGTAACGACGTTTCGCCAATGATTACAAGGCCGTAGCTATGGAGTCAACATTGGGCGGTACCAAATCTTCCAGGTCTGGGGGTCCCCCCCCCCCAGAATTTTTTTTTATAAAACGAATTTCCTGCCTAAAAATATAAAAAAATCACTAGCACATAGGATGGACTTTTTACGTATTTTTTTACAATAATGTCTAATAGTATATTGTATTACATTTCTGTTTTTTTATTTTTTTTACCTTTTCTCGTTTCGTTGTATGTAATGGCAGAGATTAGGGATTAATAAAGTACAACCATAACCACAATCATATAAACAGAAATCTATTTTATAGCAATATATTGGTGGGGTGGTATTTTGAGCATATTTGAATATTGGGGGGGGGGATGTGTGTCCCCCAATATATATTACAACCAGCATCATCAGGCGGCAGCCAGAGGTGTGTAAGAACACGTGTTTGCACCCGGAATCTGCAGACGCAGAACGAGGAAATAGATCCTCGCCGTGACTCTCACGGAGACGCTTAAATTAATAAGCGGTGGATAACAATTTTTTTTCAGTTTATTTATTTTGGTATAGCCCTGTGAGCCATTCCGCTATTTTAATCGGGTGCAACCACAACAAACAAACAAAAAACAAAAACACGAACAAGAAAACATCTTTAAGTGACTGTGCAAACAGAAAATCTATGAAAAAAAACAGCAAAATATTCCTGAAAAAAAACCACCGTACACCGCGCGTCCGCGGTCTGTTTTGTGTTTATCTCGTGAAATATGAAGCGTCAGCGTTGTGGCTACTCCACTTAAAAAAAGAAATAGAGCAACGCGGTAAGTTCGCGCCTGCATGTGAGCAAACGGGATAACGTTACGAAACCAGCAGTGGTTTAGCCGGGGGTGGAGGGGGGGAGCGGCTGAGTACGAATCTGCAGCCTCAGGATCCACGCAAATGGCTCCGTGCCGCCGAGCGAGTCACGTGATCACAACACTTGCTCAAGATGGCGGCGCCCACGGCGGAGCGGCGTGCGGGAGGCGAGGTCGGTTTCGCGCGCTGCTTTTGGTGCAGCGCGGCCCCGCGGCTCGCTTCTTCCAGCTTCTTTCAGCTTCTTCCAGCGTCGATCTCTTGCTAAACTCGCTCAGTTAGCTGCCGAACTCCGCTGATGTGCGTTTTGTATTCGTAGAACAACAAACAAACAAAAACACGCGTCCGGAGAGCATTGTTGTGTGTACGACTGATTAGCCCGTTCGCTTTGGTATTTTTTTTAGAGGTGTAGCCCAATCTGGCGAATACGTTTTGTCATACTGTATAAGCATGTGGAATTACATGGAAATGGATTGCGATGGCAGTGGTGCACACTCACATTAGTATTGCCTCGTAAAAGTGAAGACCTGCCCTTATAGTAAGACCTCGTTTAACGCTGTAAATGCGTTCCTGAAAAGTACCGCTTTGAACAAAAAATGCGCTTTTCGAAAATATTTTAAACCGGGAATAAGGTCCTCATTTTCCACAGGTACTACCGGTCAACTCTGGACGGTTTTGTAACTTTACTTTTAAAACATTATGAAGAGCCACTGCCTGAAACGCCAGCGTGTTGTATTTCCTGGAATAAAGCAACGCCTTAAAAGGCAAAACGATGGTGGCCAAATTCTCAAAAGGTGGAAAGGGTGATGACTTTTCCGAAAGACCTTGGAATAGAGAGGTCAAGAAACAAACAGTAAATTCTGTTTGATGATTCGAAGGAAGGGGTGCCAGCTGGTGAAGGCGAAAGCTCAACATCAGACATCAGGGTCAAAGATCTGCCTTTTGGCGTATAAAGAAATCGATCAGAGTTAATATATTTTTTTAAACGTCCCTAGCCAAACTACTCGCAGCTTCTCGATTGGTGAGCCTTTGTCCATGCCGTTGGACGCTTTTAAATACTGTAATGATACTCACGTAGGTATTAAATACAATAAATCACGCGTCCATCAGATGGGAAATGCTTTCCTGCAGTCACGAAAGATTCAAATCAAGATTGTGTAATGATAATTTACAGCCCTTTGTCAGTTAACTTGCTTGAAGGCCATGTCGGTTATTGGGGTTTGTATTGCAATATACTGTACAGTATTACAATCTAGCTTTACTACCTGGCTTCGCCCGGGACTTGGATTCACCACGCCCGGCTGCCTTTGTCCCCCAAGTGGTGATGTTCACACACCACACCAGTTACTCGTTTGAGGCTGAGTTGACCTAGGGGAGGCCCAGGACCGGTTCAAATAATCGTCACCGGTGTTGGCCGTGAGCAGGAATCGAACTCGGGTAGCCGGGTTCGTAGCGCAGCGCGCTAACCACTACACTACCGCTCCCCACACACACACACAGACACACAGCGCGCTAACCACTACACTACCGCTCCCCCCACACACAGACACACAGACAGCGCGCTAACCACTACACTACCACTCCCCCACACAGACAGCGCGCTAACCACTACACTACCACTCCCACCACACAGACACAGCGCGCTAACCACTACACTACCACTCCCCCCACACAGACACAAACACACAGACAGCGCGCTAACCACTACACTACCACTCCCCACACACACACACAGACACACAGACAGCGCGCTAACCACTACACTACCGCTCCCCCCACACAGGCACAAACACACAGCTCGCTAACCACTACACTACCGCTCCCCCCACACAGACACACAAACAGCGCGCTAACCACTACACTACCGCTCCCCCCACACAGACACAAACACACAGACAGCGCGCTAACCACTACACTACCGCTCCCCCCACACAGACACAAACACACAGACAGCGCGCTAACCACTACACTACCGCTCCCCCCACACAGACACACAGACAGCGCGCTAACCACTACACTACCGCTCCCCCCACACACACACACAGACAGCGCGCTAACCACTACACTACCGCTCCCCACACACACACACACAGCGCGCTAACCACTACACTACCGCTCCCCCACACACACGTCCATAAGTACACATACAAGCGCTTGCTGCAGACACACAACTGTCAGGGTACGTACGGCAGTAAACGACTGAAATAATAAAGCAATGCTGCGCGAAGAACGCCTTAGACCTGCAACACATTTGTATGGCACTTTACTCGTGGAGGGTTGGGGGGGTGATGCGTGACATGAGCAGGCACGCGCCGTTACACTTCCGCATGCGGGTGACATGACAGAGGTGACGTCACAACTCACTTGCCGTGCAAAATATATGCATTATTGCGCCCCTCCCCTCCAAAAAAATATACAAAAGTCTATTTTTATAATTTTTGCATGGTGTACAGTCTGGAAAGTACCCACATGGGAAATTTAAAGTTTGTTGCATGTCGGGAAGTACGCTAAAAATTTTGAACAGACACACATTTACAAATTTCCCTTATATATTATAATGGATTTACACAATAATGTAGGTTAAACCTCTGCCAATGAAATTAGTAACTTCCTTGGTAAAGACAAGCTCAAAGCGATACATAAAGCTCCAGTAGAACCTCGAACTGGGAGATTGTGATCTAGGTTCAATCCCAAAAAGATACATTTGTTTTATATGTGGCAATTTATTACAATCCAATCATAGCAACCGCTATTGCAATCGGAGCATGCATGAATATCGTACAATAGTTATAGTAAATTCTACTCGTGAAAATGTATTGAGTTCATTTGCAGACACTGACCCGGCCAGGTACAGTAATGTAAAATTTCCACAACTGGATAAATTTACAATTAAGATACGTATTTTTTTTAGCAGGGAGAAAATTTGAAATTAATGTTATTAACCTATTGCTTTATATTGTCTTACTGTGATACAGTATTTTTTAAGTTACCATCACTGACTTTTAACTTTAAAGACTAGCCACTGAGCAAACCTTTACAACACATCTAGGAGTTGAAAACAAACATGGGTTGTGTACTTTAAAAAAGGACTAATTAGCTTCATACGGTTTTTTTTTGTTTTAAACGAGACAAATCTGCATCAATGCGATGAAAAGTACTGTACCTATAATAGTTACTTAGTTTTAGATTTGTTGCTCATGTTGGGCATCAAATACACTCTACACATTTCCCAAAGCAATGTGTGTACTGCTGCAATTGCAAAGATCGCTTACAAACGACGAATGATTAAGTTACAATCTGGTTATTTTCGGGGTTTTTTTTATTGAGGTTTTGTTCATGTTGAATACAAATCCACATTAAAGTACAAGGAACACATGGGCACGGCGGAAGTGCGTTGTCTCATGCCGGCTAAAACCTAATGGGATGAAACACAGCAAAACCCATCACCAACCAGTGGTGGGAAAGTGAGGATTCACAAGACCAAAGCCAAGCCAAACACACGCCCCGCCAGCGTGGGAGGTGTTGCTCTAATGCTCATAAAAGAGGAGATGGAGAAAGAGCGACACTGACTCAAAGCTTGTATTGAAAATCATGCATGAGCCATATCTAACCCTAGTCTTCAACCTAACAAATCACTTAAATGATCGCAACTAACCACAAATCTCGCTCAAACTTTAATTCTAACCCTTACCATAGTGCTCATTCTAACCACAACCCTCTTCCGGAACCTTAGTCACCCCAAAGTCAGAAATCTTAAACCAAACCCTCTTCCTTACTCGATGATGCCAACATCCTTTGAAAACCGATGTCTTTGTAAATAAAAATGGAAAGAAATTGGGAATTGCTTTCACATTTACCTGCTATTTCTGAGCATGTAATTTTAAACTTTACAATGCCACACTTAATAGATTCGGTAGGGGCTTGCACGGAAGGCACCATGCCCAGTACAGTACTCACCTCTCCTGATCTTGGCTTGAGTTTATGTTTGAGCATGGGAAGATGTATCCCAAAATTAAACCTCCACCACTGGTACATTATTTTCCTTTCACATCCATACGTGTTTCACACTCGGTGCAATCAATTACCAAACACTTTTTCACCACACAAGCTAAGATATTTACAGTTTACCATTACACTGAAAACGGGGATATTAAAAATGATAGAAATAATAATTTAATGGAGTTGATAAAAAACCTCACATTGCTACTGTACCAGAATGACCAATATTTAAAATGGTCTTGTAAATATCTTAACGTTAACTTTTCAGGTATCTTCTACATTGACAGATGAACAAACAGTAATGGCAATAACTGGAATGAAACAGGAAACCAACAGTAAATATTGTAATACAACTAGTTTATAATCTTATTTTGTTTTACAAGTCCGTTATTATCTTTCAGCTAAAGCTTATAGTTTTAACCGTGGCCAATAGAAATCTGATGACGCACCAACTCCATTGAACATAAATTTGGTTAATCTTTGGATTAACTGGCAAAAAGCATACACTTAAAAAAATGTATTTTTTTTGCTTTTGTTAATATCACTTTAAGGGAAATTGGTCGTGAAGCAGATTTCTAATCTGGCCTGGTTGTAACCCTGCATTTAATCGACTTATTCAGGACCCACAAGACGGCCATCATCACGCAAAGGTACCCCTCCAAATGAGAGCAGAATGATCACAGCACTGAGTGTGCAAATGCCTCACGAGTCACAATAGAAACTCGCAGACACAACCAACGACGCAATTAAATGAGCCATTTATAAACACCACTTCCATGACATCTGCTCAGGTTAAACATTTTAGTGACTGCTGCAATGAACAAGAGCTGCAATGGACAAGAGCTGCAAATACCACTGCTTTGCTGAAATCACAATTCTGCTTCAGAGGTTTTACAAGGCAGCTTCACATGTACAAACTTTTTTTCTTTACGTACGAAAAATTCATAATATACAGAAATTCTGCTGTCACTGCCCGATTAACTGTAATCCTCAAAGCTTGTATTTCAAGAACTTATTTTAAAAGATAGGTCTGAGATGTCAGTTGCACACATAAAATTATTTCAATAAGCAGAAACGTACAAGAGACATCACAATTTATATAAAAATGTTATGCAGTTTTTACAGCATTTTAATACTGTTGACATCTAGCTGGTTAATTTAGTGATTAAGAGTCAATACTGAAGCTACCATAATCTAATAACAGCAGTGCAACTACCACGCACTAAAGCAATGCTGGCGCAAAACAACAATTTCAAAGAGCTTTGAGAAGTTAAGAATATCCTTGTTAATGGCTTGAGGAATGTATACATAACAGTTTTTCTTCCCAAAGCAACCAATCAATCTCTAAAAGCCTGTATTCTACCAGCCACAAATTGTGTGCTCAACGCTACAGTATAGCCCATGCAAAAATGGCAGCATTATGGCATATGTCAAGAGCAGGAAAATAAAGTAAAAAATAACAAGACAATAAACATGGTTTAACTAGCACAGAGCACAATTGTTTCCACAAACTTATTTACACACAACTATCCTTATTTGTTCTGATTGTAATCTGACTATAGTACAACAACGTGCATACTATTTGTGTGGTCTAAATAACAGCGATTGGTTGCTCACTGCTGTCGTCTATGGTCAATGTTCGTGATGTTTAAGTGCCCCCAAATTAGTTATGCTTCTCTTTTCAGATGCATCAAGCATCTGATTTCCAATTTGAATCAAACATAAGTGGTTTGCGCGCAGCTTATATCTCGTATACGCAATGTACACCTTAGCTGCAACCAGGAGAAACAAAACAATATATTAGATATATTACAGAAAATGTCACAACTTAAGACGACACCCAACGAGGCATACAGACGACACATGGCTTCAACTATAATGTACCTTGGAAAGCCTGTTATTGATCTTCAAGTGTTCAAACTGAAGTTGCAGAACTTTTTAAAGTTTTGATTCTTTTCATCTGAATACACTTTAAATAAGAACATTTAAAAATCCGAATCTGTTAGGAGCATTATGTACCAGTTTTATAGTAACAGGATGCCTCCACATCATCGGCATGAAGAACACTACAAGCAGAAAATAAGTGCCTGAAACAAAAACAGCACCGTCAACGTTTAATTTCAAAGCGAGAACATTTAATCACCCAACAACACTATTGCTGGGGCAAAAAAAAGCATTATTTTCCATTAAATACACAGCTAGAAAGCTTTCTTAATATGGTCCCTAAATTTGTATCCACCAAAACCAAGAAACACTGCCTTGGTTACGTTAATATGAAAATGTGCTTCATACTGCACTTGAAGACACCCAATACTGCTTTATTGTTGGTGAAAAAATCCTGAAATTGTCCACTTAAGTCAAGCAAACATTCCTTTTTAATGCAAAAAGTGTTACATTTTTTTTTCTTTTGTGTCGAGCATCTTTCGCACGTAAAAAAAAAAATGCAGTCCAGTGCTCAATTTTTTCGACCTCATGCGAAGTTCCGCCAGTCGTGAGCGCACACGTGGTTCGCTCGCGTGGCTCGCGCAAGGAGACACGATGATGATAGCGGTGTCGGAAAGGCTGTCGCACAACTAGCGGCACTCATGCCTGCGCAGCGCTGTCACGGGGACGCGGCGGGCACCGTCATTGATTTGGGGTGATGTGTGCGGAGGTCACGGCAGGCAACGGCCCCCAGAGGGCGGTGGGAGAGGGGGGGCGTCACTCTGTCCCCACCACCGCTGCTGGTTCCCCGTTGGTGCCACCGACCGTGGCGGACTCCGGCTCGTGCGACGGGGAGGGTGGGAGCGTCACGTCGGCCTTGCTGCCGGGGTCCTGCTGGGGATTTCCACCTGGGGGCCTCCCCAGCTCACGTTCCAAATCCACTATCTGTGTACGTGGCAGAGGGGCACACATTTACAAATGTACGTTACTTACTCTAGAACTCCCGATACAGGAGGTTATTCTGCCAGCAGTGGCGCAATTAAGTAATTGCAGGGCTCTAACTTTATATTTTAATAACACGTGCCTGTGCCTATGAGAGCAATAAATGCTCGTGCTAAAAAAAACTCACTCTAATTACCCCAAACAGCAATGCACAATTATTAACATAATCGTCTATGATCAAATTATCTGGAAAATGCGAGATCTCAGAAGCGAAGTAGGATTGAGCCTCGACATTGCTGGATGGGTGACCACCATGCACACACACAGGTTGCCAGAGCTCACTGGGCTACGTGGTGGGCAACAGAGGGTAGTGTCTCAAAATCCATTGTTTTGCCGCACTCGTATGCTTCGACATGTATGCTCCTGACCATCAACCCAAAGTGACCAGCCACGACCAGCCACAACCCGCAGACATGGGGAGGCACTCATCCAGCAATGGATTGACAAAATGGTCGTACATGTACACGTGCATATGTACAGTATATGTTTAATATACTAGGTGTGATTGTAAACTTTTTAGAAAGCACCCCATGAAATATTTAAACATACTTTTTAACATATACTGTCAGTATCTGTCTAACAAACAAAACTATCCATTGTCACAGCAAATTCTCTACTTGAGATATGAGACAAGGATGGTATGCTACTCAAGATGGGAAGCTGTACATAAATGACAAACTGTAGAACGTAGTCAATGTTTCATGTTCAAACGTTGGTAGTGCTTGCCCTTACCCGGCTCTGCAGAGTTTGTATTTTTTTCCCAAACTCCTCTTCCATTTCCGAAAGCTTTTTATTCTGCGTTTCGTCGCGCTTTGCAAAATCAGTTTCCCTGAGAAAAAAGCAGATCACAGTAAATACACTTTCAATAAATACACTTACATAACAACACATATTTTATCAAATTAATGCTTATGTTTTAATACATTCATTATATATATGCCTGTATTACAAATCCAATTGGTTATTGCCACTCTCTTGCATCGCCATGTCATTTGAATTCAAGGCAGGAGAAATTACATTTCGAAGCAAATCGTTCACATAAAATTGGCCACACAAAACAATGGAAGTCGTAACACAAATGGTGTGTGGCCCTAGAGTTGCATCGCACTAATTCCCTCTCAAATGGCAGTTGTTTAAGGTCCACCAGGAGTCTCTAATGTACCTCGGGCTTTGGACAATCAGGCTACACCCACGCAGGCAGGACACCGCGCCCGAGACTAGTCGAGACAGGCGCGTGCGTTTATTCATCGGCTGGCGAAAGTAATTTAGAAAAAAAGGGTTGTGTGGAATGCGCAGGCTCACTTTTGCTGGTACTCCTTGATGAGCTTCTTTGCCTTGTTGTACTTCTTCTCCAGCACCTGGTACTGGGCCTGGCTCTCCTTGAGGTGCTCGTTCACGCTCTGGCACAACGTCTGTGCCTCGAGCCAGTAGCCCTCGAGCTTGCTCATGCGCTCGGCGTTTTCCTCCATGTTCTGCTGCAACTGCAGTCGCTCGGTCTCCCAACGTTCCTTCTCATCCTCGGTGTACGCCAGCTGGTTGGAGAAGCAGGTGGATTAGCACCATGCAAGCGAATGGGGAAGCAAAAAGTAAAAAATACAGATTGACTGACGATGAATTCCTTCATTATATTACAGTGAACGCCCCATTATCCACGTGCAGATTATCCGCGATGTTGATCAACTCGGCTCATCCTTGCCCTTTACTAGCACTGTCTTAATTATTAACCGGCTCTTCACTGATAGAGGCTTAACGACTCAATGGACTCATGTAACTACATACATTTTAGAAAAGTAAAACGATTGCTGTTAAGAAACAATAAAACACATAGATGACACATTCCACACCTTTATCCCCATTATACATCAGTAAACGATAAAATAGTTTATATAGCCTAATTTACGTATGTTTGCATTAAACAGTGTTTTATCCAGGCAATCCCTACCTGCCCCAGACAATTGAGAGTTACCAGTACCTTCATTTTATTCAGTAAAGCAAAGTTCTATTAAGGCACTTGCATGTTGGGATTTGTAATAATAAATACAATCCTCAAAATTATCACACAAAGGTCAACGAAATCATCAATGAAACGAGTAAAAAATAATGTCCAACCTTCTTCTTTAACTTGGAAATTTCAGCCTCCGTGACAGCATGTTTGATCCTCAGCTGGAAATAGAATGTCGCAAATAAAAATAATATTAAACTCTGCTTTTAATTTCTATAAACAGGGACATTGACAAAATTACAGAATGAGAAAATTAAGGTTGAAAGTTATTTTCTTCAGAACAAAAGGGGCTTCTATTTCAAACCTGAAATTCAACACATTGGTCAATAACTGTGGCCTTAAAACGAAATGCATATAATAGGCAACATTTTGGGAAATGGTCCTTCATTTAGGCAGTGTTATTGACTAATGTGTTGAGTTTTTTGTCAATTATGCTTTTGCACCACTGTCAACGCAGCATCACAATATAAGGCAGCATCACAGTTTGATTCCAACTTGGATGCCTGTAAGCACAAACATTGTACATTTAAGTTTAACACGTAGGCTTTCGCGACCAATATTATTCATAATAAAGGTATTTGGGTTAGATTGCGTTTATTTATAAATGTGTCGTAACCCTCCACCACCCGACACGGCCAATCAGCAAAAAAAGTGTCACGTTGACAAAAGACATAATTCACTACTTCAGCCCACCGGTGTGTTGAAGAAACTGTAAATGTGGATTAACTCTTCAACACACCGGTGGGCTGAAGTAGTGAATTATTTGTCTTTTGTCAACGTGACACTTTTTTTGCTGATTGGCCGTGTCGGGTGGTGGAGGGTTACGACACATTTATAAATAAACGCGATCTAACCCAAAAACCTTTATTATGAATTGTACATTTAAAATTCCCAATCTCCCATCATACATGTAGCAATTATAGAACAATAGTAACAGTCATGCTGCAGAACATTAAACCAACACAACCCTTTGTTAATCCACTGCTGGATGACGGCCTCCCCACATCTGTGCAGGTTGTAAAGATTAATTTATCATATTTTACTACGCTGATCAATGCGGGCAGAGAGCATAAGTGTACGAGCTTACAAGTACAGGAGAGCAATAAAAATTGCTGCACTACCCACTACTACCCAGAACAGAATCCTGCAAGCCCTATGACAGCCTGCTTGTGCATAATGGTCATCCAACCAAGGGCTATATATTCAGGCTCCACCCATACTTAGTTTTTAAGACAGGGCGCATTCCAAGTAATATGGTTTTAGCATATATGAATGTATATTGAACTTATTTCACACCGTACATAACCAACCGTGCTAATCGGAGGTGTGGGGGGGGGGGGAGAAGGACAACAAACTAAACACAAAAAGCTGTTCTAAGGAAATGAGTTTTCAATTTAGAAATTAGCGGCATGGGCTGCTGATTAAGCACATGAGTCCTCACCTCCTGGAACTTGCGGGCGAGCGTGCTCGTGTCCATCTCGCTGGGCGACAGCATGCCGTCCCCCTCGGGGAGGTCAAACACCTCGATGGCCAACCTCCCGGCGTCCGCACCCTCTTCGTCCTCGTCCGTCGCGTACTCGCCCGTCTGCCCACGGCACGGCAGCGTTATTATACGTCGCCCGTCACCACCAATCAATTTGGCGCGTACAGTCAACGAATTCAAACTCGTTAAACGCGGCATCGTGGCTGCGGGCAAGTGTGTGCACGTGCGCACGCCTGTGGTGGTCACCGCAGTGTGCGTCGCGTTCTCAATGCCCCCACAGAGAAGCTTACAGGGGACCGCAGCGAGAAGCGCCGTTAATTATCGACGACAAACAGGAGGCAGCGTTTTCTGGACCGAGGCAGCAGCGTTCTGCGCATTTCCCGAAAGGTTAAAACAATGGCGATGTCAAGCAAAAGAGTCAGCCCAGTAATTCCATCCAGCATGTCCAAGACCAGGGGTGGAGAAACGTTTTATTCCGGGCTTTTAAATACCTTTTGTGGTGAAACAAACATTAAGCGTTGAAATTAGTGCAACCATGATGCTTGCAGTGATGAACAAATATCGTTTGTGGGCCTTTTCGGATTGGTAAGTTTTGTGTGGCTGTAGGCCGTGTCCAGTCCGCACACCATAGGTTCTCCCACCCCTGCCTTAGAAAAACAGATTCTTGCATAACTTCCATCGTAATACAATTTGTTAGTAACCACCAATGATACGCACTCACGCAAACATGGGAAGGTTTTCCTCCATTTCATAGAATTTCCATGAGGATGTAACAATCAGCGAATACTCTCATAACAGCAGACCATTTGCGAGGGATGGCCATGAGCACAATAAGCACTGAAAAGGAATTTAGATTAGCAGGGTTAAATCGCCATAGAAAGCTCCCAGCATTTCCTAGATTCAGAAAGGGCAGAAGCAAAGACATCGCACAGACATAGATATCGGGCGAGCGCTATGTGGAAGGACACAAACCTGAATCCCCCTGCGATTATTGTTGTTGTTATTGTTGTTGCCGTTGTCTCGGTCGTAGCAGCCATAGGCTAGTTGCTGCCACTACAAGCGGGTGGGATGGAGAGGGACGAGGAGCACATGCAGTCATCGACTTATTGGGAAAGAAGGAACTGGAGGGTTTATATGGAATGCGATTATTACCGCATTCTTACATCAATAATTAAATAAAGAATTACAGAATCAAATTAAATGCAAACAAGTTTTGGTAAAAAATTGAATCGGAGAATGAATGGTACATAATATACAGCCCTTTATTAATCCACTGCTGGATAGAGGTCTCCCGTTGCCTTTCAGTCATGTGGATTGTTTGACTCTACGTCATCAAGATGGTCAGTGCAGCATGGTGAAGGAGGTGACCAAGGACCAGTGTGGATATCACTCGCCACTGATGTTAGCCGTGGCCAAGAATTTAACTCAGATTGCTGGAGTCGTAGATCAATGAGCGAACCTCTGCACCGCTGCTCCTTCCCCACTGAAACATGTGAACTTGAGGGATTATTAAACATGTATTTAAAAAACAAACAATATATAAGATAAAGGCATGAAGGATCAGCATACAATGATGCAGGGAATTAAAAAGAACAGCATCTTATGGCATTGTGGAAATGACATTGGATACAAAAGTGGAAGAAAAAACACAAGATGGTGCAGATTCAAAATGCACTTCTCAAAGCATAAAACCCTCTTTGTGACCATCATTGTTTACAATCCTTCCAACCATGGCTTAGCGTTAAAAAGCCCCACACTGTCCGAGATGACAGCCGGCAGTCGATGCACAACAGGACTAACAGGTCCTGAGTAATGTCGAGCCAGCACAAAGGCACTTGGGAGTTATTTGTTATACAGGAGTACAAAGTGGCGGACTGGCATTTCATTTGGGTGATAGGGTGCCAATTTCCTTAATATATTTTCCAGTTCTGAGGGTTCAAAAAAACATTTGTTTGGTTACCAAGTGATGAACATCGCGAGCGCCACAGGGTATGTGAGAAAGTATAAGCACCCCTGGTGTGGATAACAGGCAATTTCAGGGCTCTCGGGGGTAGTTTTGTGATATTACATTCCTGAAGCTGGACTGTCATGTGGTGATGAACTGCTGTTGGCAAGAGTTCCAAATTAAATATTGTTCACCAACAAGCAAAACTGAAGTATACTTTTTCTGAATGATTTCTTTACTACCGATTAAGATGCCACTGAGATTAAAAGTATATTTTAAAAGGGAGCCCATGTGGAAAAAAGGAATGGTTTTATTAACTTCACTTATGGTGACATGGTCTGCATTGGCTGTAAAAAAGGGGATGTGTATAAGGGCATGGCAAAAATATCCCAGTAGCCCAAGCAGCATGTGCTTAACAGGTTGTGTGTTTATCGCTCGCTGCAGAGGTTCACAGTTCGAATCCAGTGGCTTAACCAGAAACATTCGCGGCCGTCTGCTTCATAGTGGATGTTAGAGATCCTTTGACATCAATCACAAGAATGGGGGCCATTGTGTGCCGACATCATGCTCCAAATTTTCTACATTGGAAAATTACCCCCAATTTACTCAATAGGAATATACGTGGAAATTGTCACCACTTACTTTGAAAACTTGGCAGGACGCTCCTGAAAATTAGTGCAATAATGAAAATGATGAGCCCATGGAAGAGCCAATGATGACATCTGAATATTAATAGCTGGATCAACCGTGATCATAGAACAGGGCAGCTGCCTATGAACCCACAGTGACTGGAGGACCATTCCAACACAGAACTGAGAGTGAGGCACGACAATATTTCCCCTCGCTCACGGTTAGGGGTTAATATGAGAGACGGCAGCAAAGATAGGCGTTTAGTGGAGTGTATGTGGGTGTCTCAAGAGGAGAAAAATGAGACTGAAACGTACATCCACGTTGAGAGAAAACGAAGCGGCCTGTACGGGGGAGGAAACAGTTATGGGAGGTTAATGCGTGAAGCAACCCCTGCACAGTAATGAGGAGCTAAGTGTTAGGTCTACAGAAGGAAGGGAAATTCACTTCCCCAGGAATCGATGGTCGATACGCAAAAGTGGCCACCGCGTAAAAAAAGGCGGCTTTAAACGAGACTGTTGCCAATCGATACGTTGTGTGGTGTTTCCTGCCCCATGCGAGCTCCATCCCAACTCACCTCCTCCTCTTCGTCATCATCGTCCTCGTTGTCGTGGTAGCGGGCGTACTGCTGCTCCAGAAGCTCCCTCTGTCGCCGCTCCTGCTCCAGCGTCTGGCTGATGAGCCGTGCAACCTCGCTCTCCTGGCCCGGGCGCTCACGTCCAATGCGAAATCTGCACCCCCCACCACCATCATGGTACGCACCAATATCAAGTCAAGGTTATTTTGTTTAACCAGGTGAGAGCTCAAACAGACCGGGATAGTCCAATGTGCAAGCAAATGGGACTCAGACTAAAAACAAAGCCCCAAAGTACAAGTCGACTCAGGCGGATAATTTTTAGACTGATCATATTTCTATACTCATTACAATTACATGACAAACAATAAACAGATATGTACTGATATGTATTAATGCACGCCAGGACTCAGCAGTCCGTGTCAACATGTGTTAACTAGCGTTTCCACGATATAATCTTACATATGATGCCAAATTTCACGATGACGATTACCACTATCAGTTCCCCATAACTCTGCAAACAAAAGTTTTTGAGCTTTGCTGAACTTTGAGTACGGAAAAGAGGTTACTGAATTGCAGTTCACCAAATAAGCCTGCCGCAAGTCTTTCTAATTGTTACAAATTCATCATCTATAGTTCACATACATAATTACTAATTAATCACATTGCTTTGCATGACGTCAATTACTCCAAAAAAACATTTTTCAAAGTATTTCTAGATTTGAAGCTTTCGTGACTGCAAGGATTCATACTCTTTGGTTTTTTCGGTAAAGTCACGTAGATAAAATAAAAATAAAATAAATGAAAACAACTAAATTAAATCACGACGTTTCAGAGGCAACACAAGCGCCTGTCTTCAGGTAGAAACCGTCACAGCAAAATTGCTGTATCAATTGCTGCTTATTTTATTTTACCTATGTGACTTTACCGAAAAAAACAGAGTATTTTGCAAAGTACTCATTTGCTATTTTTATATATTGTCAGGAAATTAAAGAAACAATGGAGCGGCAATAATTGCAACCTAACAATATTTAGCAAAACAGACGATACGATTATCGTGGATCTCATGTCGTACGATGTATCGCGGTATCGTCAGCAGCAACTCTCATGCCAACGTACACCATTGTGCAAGGCCTATGCTTTGTGAAAGGAAGATATCGGGCATGGAGGCTATCTATTCCATTACATGTTGACCAACAACATCTGCTACTGCTGCTTAAAATTACGGACCATGTCTCGCAGCAGAACTGTCCAACTGAACAATCTAGCCGAGCTCATGAGCGACTCGTGGTTTATTTATTTTAAACTCTTGCTTGAGGTGGACAACCATGTTTTAAGCGGTACCACTGCCCTTGTTTACAACAAGACTCCATTAAAAACAACCTATTTAAATATTTACGCGAGGTAGCTACTCAAAGACATGAGTATGAGCATACTCTGTTTTATATGTTCATGCACTCTTACCGACTGTTGGTTCTTATTAATTTACCGACAAAACACTGGCTGTGCCAAAGCAAGGCCAGGTACAGTGGAAATGATGTTCCGAATGAAAGGTTGCTAAAGGCACATCAGCTTCACCTTGCCACCGATGTGGCCAAAACGAGGGATTGACCGAGCGGAGTTCAGTTTCAGGAAATGAGCAGCCGTCTCGTGTTGCAAGGGAAACCCCAAATGCTCAGTTTGATATTTGAAACTTTCCGCACAAATAATCATATATGCCTCAGAGTACGCATATTATCGTAAACGTGACGGGAGTGTAACATCTTGCTGCAGTGCAAATGTGATATGTAATTTTGTTTTCAGAAAATTGTCAAGATACTCTTATCTGAATAAATATAATTTGTAAATCATATTAAAGTATTACAATGTCAGCAGGCTACGTTTAAGCATGGCAAGATGAAATTCCCAAATTATGTTTGCAGAATTGCTTCGCTACGCTTTGCGTGTAATATTTATTAATATAAAATACCGCAAAAACACAAATTTTCTCTCCAAGCTCAGGGGGCACAGTAACGCTCAAGCCAGCACTGAACAGGGCAAGTTTCCATAACGCATTTTATACTCGGGCAGTAAAGGCCCAGACCGTGTGGTGGTTCTGCATTTCACTCGGATCCAGTTGAAATTAAAATACAAAGGAGAACCAGGGCAGCCCAAGGAAGGCACAATATCCAAATCAAGAGCCAACCTGTGCCAAGTGTGGAGGGAGGGGGGGGGAGGGGGGCAGGTTTTTGCTCTAAATCGTATGTCTCGCCACAAAAAAAAAAGATTTCTGGACATTTTCTAGTAGTTTTGTTATACTAATCTCAGATTACGGGATGCCAATGCAGGTCAGACGGACAAGAGAGGATGATTGGAAAAGGCAATACACAGTGCTCGTGCGAGTCAGCGTCAGCTCCGCTTATTTTGTGTGCGCAAGCTGGTGTCGTACAAAGCGTAGACCGCCGGCACAGTAGCAGGTTTTTTTTTCTCTCCTTATTTGGCCAGGAAACTAAGCTACACAAAAAGCTCTCATTGGCAAACTGCACACATTAATATAAGTAAATAAACAAATAAACGCATGTATTTGCATAATCCCCAGAGCCTTGGATAACGGGAGGTTTGCGTGCGGGTGGGTCAGTTGGTTCGGCAAACCAAGAGACGTGAATGGACAGATGGGTCCTGGTATCAGCAAAGGGGCACTGGACAGGGCATGTGAAGGCGGCGACTTGTTTATTTAGCTGGGTCATCAAAAGTCATGACATCTATCGAGGGAAGTAACACAACTCTGCTAACCCTACCCATCCTCTGACTCAACTGCATTGGCTTAATAACAGCGAACATCGCAAGGCTGTCAACCAGTGCTTGTTACCAGCCCAGAGATGTGAAAACAGGAGGCTGTACAGGTGCAGAGCGTGCAAAGCAAACGACTGCATTTCTCAGCCGGTTAATGCCAAGTCCAAACACGTGTGCGCTTAATCTAATGCAGCAGCAACAACAATAATTTAACACGTAGGCTTTTGCGACCAATACCATCCATAATACAGTTTTTTTTTTGGGTTAGATCGCGTAAATATAAATGTGTCGTTAAACCCGCCACCACCCGACACAGCCAATTAGTAAGGTTTGTTACGTAAACAGAACATGCCAATTCGTTACTATCATCAACCTGATGCCAGTTATAATTAATGACCAAACGTCGTACTCAGATTGTAAATGTTGTGGATTTGCTCTCCAACACACCGGTGTGCTGTACTAGTAACGAATTGGAATGTTCTGTTTACATGACAAACTTTACTAATTGTCAGTGTCGGGTGTTGTCAGGTTTAACGACACATTTATAGTTACGTGATCGTACCCCCAAAAAAACCTGTATTATGAGCAACAATAATTAATGACAACTTCGTAGTATAGATAGATTAAACAGGCCTACATTAAAAGCTCAGTGACAGCATCTGATAACAGGGGCAGCATGCCAAGAGAGGAGAGCAGCTCAGACATTAAACTGCATGTGAAAAGTTTATTTACCTCCATGGCTAAACTGGGGATCAGGCAAGCATTCCACGAATCAAACGCGACAGGATGCAGGGCGGCCACCGCATGCCAAAGAGGCGCCGCCGCTATACACCACGACCCAGGAGGCACATCAGGAAATTAGGACAATGTCCCTTGGACATCCGTGGTGCTCAAAACTACCACCGCTTGACAGGAAACCGTAAAAAGGGAACTGACTCGGCACAAGGCCGTGCCTCGACACCCTGCGAGGTTTAACTCGTCTGTCACACGCTACCCTGCGATGAGGGGGAGGGGAAGTAAACGCGCAGGGAATAATTCAGTTGGGGCAAGCGTACCGCACATTTCCACGTGTGTTTTTCAGGACGGTGGCGGCGAAATTCTGAGTGACCCCGACAAGGCTGACACCATCCACCTCCACAATTTGGTCATTCACCATGATCCTGCGGAAACATATGGGAGGGGGGGGGGGCGAAAGGTTTTTGCAACGTACTAGAACAATGTCTCGTGCCAAAGCAGGATGGGGTTGCTTTTTCAAAAACGGAGCTTTGGTTATGAAAAAAGCAACATACCAGTGTGCCTGTAAAAAAAAAAGCTTAAGCAGTGTGGATTATCCACGATGACCTACGAATAAGAAACAAGGATAATGTGTGATTTTCATTTTGCTACAGCTAGACACGTGCAAAATCACAGTGGTTTGTTTGAATGTGGATAATAGGTCACTTGAAGCAATCTCAGGAGTAGTTCTGTGATGTTACCTTCCACAGACCATTCTCAAACACAGCATGATGCCCTGCTCTGCAAGAGCTCTAAATGGACACTTCATCTAGTGAGGTGATCAAAAGCAGAACTGGAATAAACTTGGGGGAAATGACAAAACCAAAGTGATTGAATACTATCCATGACCACAGTGTGATGCACTGCCAGAGAGACGGTCATTACCTGCCGTCGCGCTGCGCTGCTCCGCCCTCCATGATTGTCTTCACGAAGATGCCCAGTTTCTCGAGGCCGGCGTCTGCTCCCACCCCCATGCCGATGATGCTCAGCCCCAAGCCATCGTCGCCTAAATAAACAAGAGTGTTTAGCTTGTTGTCTCCCCCGCACACCTCCCTATTACCAGGGGTCGGCGACGTATGGTGCTTGAGAAGTTCAACATGCATACAAAAAAAAAAGTAACACTGGAAGCACATCTATCAGGACTAATGTTAACGCAGCGGTGGAAAAGCGTTTGCTTTCGTGACAAACACATCGCTCGAGGGATTGTGTTCAAGTGTGCTGGATCACTCATGTCGCGGAGGTTACGCGAATCATTTGGCTGCGGCTCTTTCCCCCTCACTGATGCACGATGCTCAGGGCGAAGGTCTCCGGAGGCACTCGATGAGAACCGGCGCGTCAGTCTATCACTGCCAAGCGACGAGTTGCTTGCGCCGTGAGCAATGTCACAGCTGTGACAACGGGTCATTTGTATAGAATACCTTAAGTTATTTTGTCTAGAGCGGAGACTATTAATCAATTAATTGACGAAACATTGTAAATGGCTACTTTTTTTCCGGTTGATTACTAGGGCTCCCTTTTAAGGGTAGTGGCTGATGATGCCGATGATGTCACCAAGCCCATCCAATCACCTCCAGTCTACAGGCACACGTGGGAACAGCGATGAGACTTTTTAAAACTAATTTCGTGCTATTCGACCATTTGAGTAATCCAAACAACAATCAGTAGAGTAATCAAATACTTAACTACCGGTAATTGGTTTACCTAGTTCTAATAGTATCCCTCCAATCAAGGGTGTTACAATCAACAAGTCACAGGGCCTCATTCTTCCTGATCAATGACATTGGGGAGTGAAAGCGGGTTTTAATTTTGAAGTTTGCCGTCAAAAAGTGTTCCACTGTTAATGACTTAGCAGCCATGCTAGGATTCACAGGCGATAATTGTTAGGCGTGGCCTCTAGGCTCCGATTAATGATTCATCAGCTTGCATGCATCTTGCAAAACCTACACAACACGGACACCCAACAAAAGGAAGGCCGGTTCCACCGGTCGGGCAAGTGGAAGCATTTCTTCAACTCTGATACGGTTCATGCTCATTCCCTTGACTGCTCGGCCAAAGGTAGTTTTAGGGCCGTCTCAAGCAGCCACGATCCTGCGATGAAATAATCCACTTAGCACTTACACATGAGCTGATTTCATTGCTCCATCTCCACGTTTCATTCCTTGGTTGCCAAGGAATGAAACGTCGCTATTCTTGACCATCTGCCATCATTCCCTTCTTGAACGTGGTCTGCCCAAGCCCATTTGGCTTTCTGCACAGTTTCAGCAATTTACCTGCGTACACTCTCGAATGCACGTGCTCCTCTTTCTCTCAATGTAAGGCCAAGCATGCCGTGCGAGAGTACAAATGATAAAAGCAACGACAAGTCTGCAGCAGACAGTGGGAGATGCAGCCACAATGTGTTCAGTGCCTCTCAAACCTCACACCAAGCTGTGCCTCTTGATCGCTAACCACCTCTCCTCTCCCCCCTCCTTTCACTGGCCCCGTTGCTCATCCCCCAGTATTCAGGCTGACAATTCTGTGCAAGAATTGTGGGCAAGAATTGTGATGTGTTTTCAGAAATAGCTAACCATAAAGTATGAGAAAGGGCACACGGATACTGAAGCTGAATGCAGTGGTTATGGACGGGAGCTTGATAATTCTGTGCAAAACATAATTTTTATTTAATTGAGAAGACATCGTTCATAATGTAATGACCCATAATTAGAATGGAATGACACAATATATTTTAACAATACGAATGACTGGCAGCTCACATTACAATTCTCCACATGAATGCCCAAGTTGAAAGGTCGTGATAGATGGTGAACTTTTAATTGTACAGTATATACCAGAGTTAATTGTTAAATTAAGAATCACAGTAAACTGTTGCCATTCATGCATGAATATGGGCATTTAGAATCACTGAGAGCATCACTTACAATTTCGCTTTTTTTAGTGTTGAAATTAATAATGATGATTGATGATGGCAACGATGCGAGATGATGGTGATCGTGATTATGTTGACATTGGTGAAGATGATGGTGACAATAGCAATAACGAAGGCAATTGATAAAACTTCATTTTTATTCTATTTCTACCTACGTGACTTTACCGAAAGAACCAAAGAGTACGAGGATGCTGATGTTCATGATGTCGACGTTTTGGTAGAAATGACAGCGACAATGGTGACCCATGACGACGATAATGCCAGCGACGGAAGGATGATGATGACGATGACGATGACGAATGACGACGCTGTTCTTTCAAGACGAGGTGCGACGAGGCACCTTTCTCCATTTCCACCTCGAAGAGGTCCATGCGCTCCACGCGCTTCTCCAGCTCGTACTCGGCCGACGCCGCCACGGGGTCGACGTCCTCGTTGCGCCGGTCGTACTCCTCGTTGGAGAAGGTGCTGAACACCTGGGGGGGCACGGGGAGGCAGCGCCGAGTTTCAGCATCAGAGATCGAAACTAAACGTGACGCCTCGGGGGTTTATATATTTAATTTTTTGAAACACGACAGAAACCCACGGCGAGTGAAACAAAAGCGTACTTATCCATCAAGGTATCGATGACACTACTGAATTATAGATTTGTTATTCATGTTATAATATTTGATTTCTTAAGAACTGCTTTTTTGCGTTCAGTTTGTTGTCCTTTCCCCCGCAACTCCAATTAGGACGGTTGGCTACATATGATGCGAAAGAAGTTCAGCATGCATATAACAGACAACGATCCCCCGTATAGCCAAAACAGACTGTTGGGGCAAGTGCTTTTAACGAGCACCTATACATGTCCGCGCACGGCTTTGAATAAACTGCACACACTCCGGTGTGTTTTTGGGTTGTAGCAAGTGTTTGTTTGGCATGATGCCTGACGTTTTGCTCGATTTGCTGGGAGCTTCTAGGTTGCAACTCCATGCCAAACAATGCACGGTGCACAACCTGAAAACACATCGGAGAGCTATGCAGCACAATCGTGAAAACTTACGCGGTAGGATTACTCACAGCAATTGTTTCTCCTCTTTGTAAAATGGACACATTTTCAAACAACTGAACCTCATCTCCTTGATAGTGAACTCTAAGAACTAATCATGTAATTAACACTTATATTTTTTTATATAAACGTAATATTTTTTTAATCTTGTGAAAAGTGTAGGATATTGTGTGCCGAAGTCCGGGGCAAATGCACAGAATTACAAAGAAATACCGACAGTTTTTTTTATGAATGCTTGCAGAGTCTGAAACCTCGTTGCACCGACTATAAAGTTCTCTCCCGAGACTCAACTGCTCCAAGGAAATACCTGGCATGCTGATAACAAATTTAGAATCATTACCACATTGAAATGTCATTCTGTCCATATGTGAAACGGCTTTAAAAAAAAAAGGCACACGTGCGTGTTTACGTTGACGTTTAACAAGCCCTGTCTGGGCCCAGTCTCACACACGTGAAGCACGCCTTCTCCTCGGCTTAGTGCTCGTGGAACATATGATGTGAAGGCGCCACACCTACTATGAGCCCTGCAAAGAGCTCACAACCAGACTTCCCATCTCAAGGCCGCGTTCACCCTGCTGATCTAGTACGGGGTTTTCACGCTGTCCTAACGGGTAGACATGCTCAGGCAGGGCTTAATATCTCAGGATATTTCCTGAGTTGCTGATACACTGGAGAAGGCGCCGAACTCGGAGCCAGCGCAAGAGCCATACGGGATGTTGCATGTATGTTACACTTCTTTTGCACCGTATGTAGCCAACCATTCTAATCAGAGGTGCAAAAATATTTTTTCCAAGTTGCCAACATGAACAGACACAGCTGAAATTAAGCCCTGGGCATGCTTAGCAGTGTCATGTGCAGTCAACGTAAGAAGGATTCTCCTTTTGTTTGTGTTTGTTGTCCTTCCGCCGCACCTCCAATCAGCACGGTTGGCTATGTACGGTGCGAAAAAAAATCAACATACAAACAACGTACGAATGGGGTATACCTTGACTAGCAATATGGGGTCAAGGATGTTTTCAGGAGCTCCATAGTGAGAAGCATCACAGGGGGCAATTATTTACAAACACACACAGATGCAGCGGTATTTTTTTCACCACCGACCAATCACCTTTGACTTGCCGTTGACCAATCGGCCAACTAGGATTTGCCATGCAACGGCACCCAGAAAGGGAACCAAAATGAAACGGGCACACTGGAAAAGAAGCGTCGACGGCGGAGGTCTATATTCACGCGGTTACTGGGCCATCGGCGGCGACGAAGGATTCTGCTTTCTTTCCCAGGAGGGTTTCAGCAGAACTCCCCAAAATTAGCAGCCGCATTGCGAGCATCCCACGCGGGGTACAGTGCTTCTCTACAAATGGGCACTGACAATCTGTCATAAGAGTATCCCCCCCCCCCCTCCCGTGCCACCCCTCTTCCCCCCCCAAACGGAGACGGTTGCCTGCTGGTAATAAAGGCTGGCATTGTGATGCAGTGCTGTAAGAATGCCATTCACATCTGTAAGTGCATGAAGGCCTGGATCTTTGGAATATTACTGTGAAGAGCGGCTTTATTCCTTAGACAAAATAAGCCCCAGATGCATGGCACAAGTAGAAAGGAGGCCTTCCAAAATGCCAATGGCAAGGGCTAAAAAACATACCCCACGTGTAATCGTGATGCAGGATCGTTTACACCAATGAACGTCAACTCAAATCAACATGATTGCATTAAAGGGCCAGAAACGTTCTGGAACACAGTTTGTATATATATAAAAAAAATAGAATAGATTGTGTTACCAGACAACATTGATTCTAATTCCTTGCGCTCAAACAAACCAGGGCAATCAATTCTGCCCATTATGCGTACCTTATAAAGTGTTGCAGTGCCTATGCGTATATAGAGTGTGAACACAGGATGTTTATTCGTGTGTGCATTCGGAGCGGTAAGCATACAGTTACATCTAAGTACAGTGTCATATTGTTAATAACAACATTAATATTAACCATTCACAGACGTGGGGTTTGTCCGACTGGACTGCATCATGCTGGTCATTATGGTGAAGACAGGCGCCAGGGCCACAGGAGATATCACTCGTCAGTGACATTAATCGTGGCCGGGAAATGTAACTACAGTCACAGGGTCTGCTAACCACTGTGCCACTATGCTCACCCGGCATATTAGCTACTGAAAATTAACAAAACATTTGGATGTTGCACTTAGGATTTACTTTAATTGTCATTAGCTTTTTTGCAGGTAAAGGTAAGAGCCCAATGGCTCACATTACTGTCTCTTTTGCAAGGTAAATCCGTAAAACCAAAATTCCACCGGGAATGATAATTTGCATAATATTCACATCTGATGTTGAGACTAAATAGGCCAAGAAACAGAGGCGTCAACTCTTCCTCTGCTCCCCGCAGACACCGATGCTAAATTTACACGACACCACAAATGCCAAGAGCCCAAGAGAGGAGGGGGGGGGAGTGAAGAGGGGGGGGGTGGCCACTGGCAGAAAGGAACACTGTCGGATTTGCTGCGCTTGGTGGGACGTGCAAGGACTAATGAATAGCCGTGGCGAGGGCGGCATCCCCATGCAGCAGCAGCAGCGCAGGTCACAGCGCGACGCAGTAGCACCATCGATGCAGCGCCTGATTTCCGCTTTCAGCCAGGGCCACAGCCGCACGTCCGCCGCACTCAGCGACTCATATAATCTGCACCCCAGCCGGCAACTGCTTCCCGAATAATAAAGGCCACGAAGTGGAATCGGCTGAAAAAAAAAGGACGGATGAGGATTTTTTTTCTTCCTCCAAATATATATAACAGCCGAATGGCATTATCACGCCACTTCCTTGTGCCGTGCGGTTACAGTTGGTCAAAACTTGCACCATAACGATGCGTGTTTAGCGCGTACAATAACAAACGGCCAGTTAAGACACGACGCGTTATTCAAACGTTATAAAATGAATGGACGTTGGTACATAATTAAAAAGTGGAATATTACTTGGGAACGGTATGTCAACCGATTAGGACTGTAATTCAGTTACTAAAAAACTCGGTCTAGCTTTTTTGACAAGGGAAAAATGCTCATAAAATACCATGGTGTCAAACATACTCGGACAAACTGACTTTTCCATCCACATTAGGACAGTGATGGTGCATTCACGGTTTCATATACAGATCAGACCTATTGACTTTTTTCCCATAAGTAAGCAATATTTTGTGAACATCTGTAGAATGACTTTCAAAATAACACCCCCATATTTATTATTACAATGATTTAGAAATTGTGGCTGCGAGTTTTTGCCTAATTTGTGAACTCATCTTCGCAGAAACTGCCAAGTCATTTCAATTTCACTCTAAAAACTGAACTATTTAAAATATTTGTTATTTAACCAGGTAAGACCCCACTGAGCTTGATGGCTATTTTTCAGAAGCGACTTGGCCACAAATTAAAGCCCAACTAAGTGGCTTATCATGTGGAAATGTATAGCAGCCAAATACCATAAAAGCATGTTTCTAAATGTGGAGGGAAAACCCAAAGGACCTGGAGAAAAATCTACACGATCACGGGGAGACATGCAAACTCTAAATATACAGGCGTCAGGGTTGGGATTGTACCCACGAGCTCCTGTATACCAGGCGAGGTAGTTAACATCTCGCCACCACGGTGCCGCACTAGAAGCTGCTGTTACTCCATCACTTGGGCACTCCACCGGCATTCTTCTATTTACATTCTGTCAAGTCAAATTAAGCCGAACCAATCATCATAAGCCGTGATCTCAGTAGGAATCAATGAAAACTCAAATGGCTCGTTCACTCTTACAATAATGGATTGGGGCCTGCAAATGCTTTCACTGTGATGTCGCACACAGACTCAAATGTTAGGAAGTCTTGCAGATACTATTAAATCCTTATTAAATCCCAAACCCTTGTGTCTGCATAACAAAATGTGTAGCTTGTAGTACGGAAGAAAAATGTAAGAATTCACATACTCAAGCAATAAATAAAGTGGCATTCTGACCAACCTGAGAAAACCGCATGGGTATCTAACAGGAAATTACTTCACTTTCTTCAGTCTAAAGCTTCGGTTAACCTTGCATTGTATCACTGGGAATAATACAAAAAGAACACATAATCCTTCAAGACACGGTGTCCACTACCTTGCCAGTGTGAAATATCCCGTGACGCTACTCTCCAGATACGATCACTGTGTGTGTTGTTTAAATGTCAGCAAAATGGCCACGAATTGAGGCATTCCCCCAAGGGAGAGACGACTTGGCTTTTTGGAAAATTAAATGCAAGCACACTCCATAGTGGAGAAACATTTTAGGATAGAGAGGTTAGTGCGGCGGAGCATATTGTCACTGCTTATGCAAGCAATGAGTGACGATGTCAGCCCTTGTTAATAATTAATAATAAAATTTGCAAGTAAAAAAAATATTTCTATCT